GCAACCATCCAGCCAGTTCTTTATCCAGGGGGATCCACCCATCAAATCCATGGCTCTCTAATTTAGAGACAAGGATCTCATGCAGGACAGTGTCAAATGCTTTGCGTAAGTCCAGGTTGATGATATCAGTTGCTCTGCCCCATTGCGATGCTGAATTAATGCTAAAATACTTTGCAGTCCATTGGTTAGTTAATGGAGTCACTATTTTATACAAAAGGTAAAAATTACGGTTGGCATAGCAAAGAATATTTAGGATAGATGGGAAATTATAGAAAGGGAAAGCTATGTCCCTGGTAAAATAGAGAAAGATAAGTTCCTAAAAGAATAAAATTAGGAGGGAAAGCAAAGGAAAGTCTGTTTTACTTTCCTGTAGAAAATAATTAGCATTTTGTAATTCCATCTATGTCATGGTAACAGAAATAAAGCTTCATTAACATTCCTTAAGATGAAAAGTTTGTTAGCAATTCTGATATACTTAAATTGTCAGACTTTTGTATGGCTTGACATAACCATACCTTCTGAATCCTAGCATATACTCTACTTGGGTAATAGTTTGATGGCTGTCAAGAGGAGCCATAGAACTGACTTGGCATCTTGCAAGATTCTGTATTTGGTACCGCTCAGCCTTTTATTTCTGCTAACAATTTAAAATAGAAAATGTAGTCATTATTATTCTTAATGCCTTCAGGTTAAAATAGGTAAGGGAGAATAAGATGGAACGATCTTAGTTCTTCTGAGTGACACTAATCCACGTAAAACGTGTGTTGAAGTACATTTTCGTTTTGCTCTGCAGGACTGTGTAGAACATGCACCTTTGCTCAGACAGTGAATCTGAGTATTGACTGGTATGACTGGTTAGGGGAGGCACAAGGGAGACTTTTTTGCCCTCTACAACTCCCTGAAAGGAGTTTGTAGTCAGGTGGGGGTTGGTCTCTTCTCCCGGGCAACCAGCAGTAGGACAAGAGGGCACAGACTCAAGCTCTGCCAGGGCAGGGTTAGGTTGGATATTAGGAAAAGATTTTTTTACAGAGAGAGTAGTCAGGCATTGGAATGGGCTGCCCAGGGAGGTGGTGATGAGACTGGATGTGGCACTTAGTGCCATGGTCTAGTAATGATGGTAGGGTTGGACTCGATCTTTGAGGTCTTTTCCAACCCGGTTGATTCTATGATTCTATGACAGAAAAGCATTATAAGCTGGTCTGCTAGTGTTGTGGGTTGCCAAGAGAAGTATTTATAATTTAGTGTGTGACCACAAGAATAATGAATAGAAGGGCTTTGTGTTAAGGTACCAGTGGATATCATATGGTGTTGCTATCAGTATTAAGAAGAGATTACTGAAAAGCTGGAGGAAGTGTTTTTAGTTGGAGGGAACACACACCCCACCCCACCCCTCTCTTCTGCGAAAGAAAAAAGTCTCTTTTAATTTTCATAGAATTTGTGGTCTGATTGTCTAAGCTTTGTTACGGAAGAGCTTTGTTTGGAAGAGCTGAAGAGGGTCCAGCAGAGTGTGGTGATGACAGTGAGGGGCCTTGGGCCCTCCAGGGAGCATGGAAGGGAGCTGGGCTTGTTCACTGTGATGAAAAGGAGACTGAGGGCAGAGCTAATGGCAGCCTCCAGCTGAGTGTTGCAGTTGCAGTGACCATTGAATCTGAACCGTTTTCAGTAGCACCAGATGGCAGCAGTCATAAACCGCAGTTTGAGAGCTTGAGCCTGAGTTTTGGCCAGGAGGGGCAGTGTGTCACTGGAGCAGGTTGCCTAGTAGGGTTTTGTAGCCTTTAGTAGTAGATACTTTCTAGTCTCTGCTCATAGAATCCATGACTGATATTGCTATCACCAGTGTCTTCTGAGATTATGCAAGCAGTAACAGGACATAGGATATAAAAAAATCGTTGGAGACAATATTTTTTTCAGGAAAACTTGAAAATTATATGCCATCAGTTTGTTAGGATTTATAATTATGGTTTGTTAAAAAGCAACTTCTTTGAAGACTGACAGGTATTGTTATTAATGGTACTATACTAAAGACCTTCCATTGCAGTAGTGTTACTTCTAGTCAGGCATGATGGAATATGTAGGTCTTAAAATTTTCAGCTGTTTTTGACTGGTTGTCATGTATTTTATGACAATTCATACTGAAACATTAATTTTTTTGAAGATTTTAACCATAAGTTATATACAGTTTGCACTTTGTCACCAATGCATAGGGAATTTATGCATGCTCGGAATTTTTAGGCAGTAATCTGTAATGAAAAACCTGTTTCTGTGTCTGTCCACAGAGCCTCCTTGTAACAGTGTTTTAGGGAGGCACATTGGTAGCCTGGAGTTGGCTTTGTTCCAAGCTGTGTGTCATTTGTCTAACGCTGTTGCTTCTGAAGGTGTCCCTTCCAGCAGTACATGTTTTGTTTTTAATTTAAACTATTAATAATCTGTTGAGTATGTTAAAACAGAGGAAAATCTGTCCTGCCAAAGAGGAGTCTTGTTTTGTTTTTAATTTTGTTGAGTAAGTAAAGATGTTAATGTGGGTTTTCTTGACTCAGGTTACAAATGCTGAGAGCAGACATAATGGGAACTTGGTATCTCATTGGAGTATTAATAGTATTTGTTTTTAATTTAAACTATTAATAATCTGTTGAGTATGTTAAAACAGAGGAAAATCTGTCCTGCCAAAGAGGAGTCTTGTTTTGTTTTTAATTTTGTTGAGTAAGTAAAGATGTTAATGTGGGTTTTCTTGACTCAGGTTACAAATGCTGAGAGCAGACATAATGGGAACTTGGTATCTCATTGGAGTATTAATAGTATTTAGGGTGTTCAGTGCTTTATGTGTAGTTTTTTGTATCTTAAGAATAAAGGATCCCAAACAGTTCTAATATCTTGTGGCTGATGGCAATGTGCAAATTTATTATGATGCATCAGGGTGGGAGTTCCTCTTAAATCTGACTGCAAGAAAGCAATGCCTAAGAGTTGTGACTTTGTATCAAATTACTGTGCGAGAGAAAAGTTTTCTTCTGACTACTTTGGCATCTTCATGTCTTCATTCCTATTCATGTGTTAAAGCTGATAGGTATCTTTACTATTCACTTTTACCCAGGAACTTTATTATTATTCCGGTGTTGAAAAACAGTCTCGCACCATGTGTTCTGAATATAACCTGAGGAAGTGTTCTAGTCACTTAAAATTTTCCCCTGTTGCTGTATATGTATTTTTTAAAAAAAAACTGAGTTGGGATTGGCTTGTGCCATCCCTTTGACTCTCCTGTCTGTTCAAGAACAGCACAGTTTCAGTTTCAGAGCCACTTGGAATAGGCATTTAACTTTTAACTGGCAGCGTCTTTCTTTCTGGTGTTGAACTTTGTGAACTTCAAGCTCAAATGTTTCATCCTATATGTAAAGATGAAAGAATGATGAGCTATATGGAACTTTCAAAGGCTAAATATCAGAATGTTCCCTTCTGGAGCCCATAATGCTTCTGTCTTACCCTCTGCACACTGACTCGTGCACTAAAATAATAAACACTTTTCCTAGTGACTTCACAATCAAATAAGGGAAGTTATTTTTGAGCCATGAAGTAACACTTCTGTCCTAGCATGAAGTCACAGGCTTTGATTTTAATGTAACTTTTCTTGTTCTTTATAGATGGAGATCTTATAACAATTTTTGATAGCTCCGATCTTTCCTTTGCAATTCAATGCAGTAGGATACTGAAGCTGACATTGTTTGGTAGGTACAGAAGATTGTATTTTTCTTTTCTTAAAAAAATAATGTTTGTTAAAATTCGGGCAGTGGGCTACACCGGAAGGTACAAAAACTTTGTCACCTCAGAAGGTGAAGCAAGTGCAATCAGTAAGTTAAAAATACTGAATTAATACATGATTTTTCTCTCTTGATGTGTTTCATGAGATGTCTGAACTTAGGGAAACTTAAACTATTTCTTTTTCTAAGATTGCTCAAAGCATTTGACATAGATCCATACATGTGCAGTCAGTGGGTTTTTTTTCTTAATGTTATTTTCCATGTTAACTTCCACTCTCTAGCATTTGTGGGATTTTCTTCACAGGTGCATGAGAAATTTAAGGTGGCTATTATATTGCAGTGTTACTAGTACAGTGCTAAAATCTAACATTAATTGCTTGAAGTTGGATAGGTCTTAACATTTATCTTTTGGCCTATGTATAAAACAGTTCTTTATTTTCAGCATGCTATTGGTAACTTAGCACATAGTTCCAAGGAATAGCGACTGCCTTTGACTTGGACGCTGACTGTGTTCATGAATTGGAGCAGCTTTCCACAACCATTTGTAGTGTCTGTATTATTCAGGGTATTTTCATGGAAATGAGTAAACTTCCTGTGGACTTTGCTCTGGTACTGTAGATTTTGCTGAACTGAGATTGTATTAAAGGAACAGTAAACTCTAGAAGGAATTCAGTCTCTATGGACTAAATTTTGTCACTTTAAACTCCACAGAGGAGGATGATGCTACAGTCAAGTAAAAGTTGGGAACTTTTTTTTTACAGATCTTAAATTGAATGTCAAAATGTTACTGCATTACTAAGTTTATCTAATTGCTGTTTTGCAGTGAACGGACAACCAAGACCTCTAGAATCTAATCAGGTGAAATACCTGCGTCGAGAGCTGATAGAACTTCGTAATAAAGTCAATCGTTTACTGGACTGTTTAGAGCCCCCAGCGGAACCAGGGCTTTCCACGAGTCTGCCTGAGAGTGGTAGGCAGCCTGGCAAAGGGTTGTTTGGTTTGATTTGCAGAGTTGTGTGCTGTTTAACAAAGTGAAAATTAGAGGCTTGAATACTGGTTGAGATCATGCTTGAGTGTTGCTTGCTGGCTCAGAACTGAATTTTTAATGCTTCAGTTATTTCAGAGGCAGAATTTTTGAGTTATCTGGAGTCAGGCATTAAGCTAATTTAGGAATGAAACTTCAAAGTCAGGCACTGGAATAGATTGCCCAGGAGGTGATAGTCACCATCCTTGAAAGTGCTTAAGAGGCACCTGGATCTGACACTTGGAGGATATGATTTAGGGGTTACAACAGAGTGGCAGGTTAATGGTTGGATTCAATGATCTTATCTCCTCCAATCTTGACGGTTCTGTGGTTCTGAATTTTTGTTGCAGTGGATGAAAACACTGTAACTAACACTTGTGAATCACAACAATGTTTGGTGAGGGGTTTTAGCCAAATTACTAGTTTGTTGTTGCTGAAGAGTTCTTCCTCCCAGTTGAGTACTCCCACTGCTTACTTTGGGCTAGCTCTGGTGCTTCTCTTGTGTTGCTAAGCAAGTTCGATTCACTAAAACAGGAAAAAGTGAATTCAGCAAAAATTATATCCACTTTTTTTGCCAGGTTAGGAAATTGAATCCACACATTTTGAGCTCAGACCAGCATCAGAGCTGTCTCAGGGTAAGCAGCACAAGGGTGCAGGTAGGAGTGGGAAAGGATTATTGGGGGAGGGCAAAACAGGAAAGAAAGTCTTATTCTCACAGTTTTGAGGTATTGATTGCCTAGCTTAGGACTGGTGTACTGTAAACACTATACCTCTGTGTGCTTAGCTACAGATTTTGGGTTAGCTGGACACAGAAAATAACAATAAAAAGTCATGGAGTACAGAGCTCCGAGTAAAGAGATGAATGAAGGACATCATTTTCCATTTAGAAAATTCTGCTTTTATATTTTACACTTCAAAGTTTTATTGGTTTTGTTGTTTATAAAAATCCCAGCCCTGTTCCTACAATATATGTAATGACTAATTTCAGTGGAATACCATGGATTCTGGTTATAAACTATTTGGAAGGAGATTAATGTGTTGTTCTTAGAGTGTAAACAAAACTAGCCAGTCTGTTACCTACCTGCAGTTGTTTGTTTTTAGAGAAAATGTAGCACTGTATTAGGTGTTTCTGAGTGATTCAGTTAACGTATAGTTGCAAAGATACAACTTCACCCATCAGTTTAGGAAGGATTAGAGGGAAAGGTAGAGCACAAAACAGAAACTGCAGTTGATAAAACACCCTAATAAATTGGAACCTATCCTGTAAGTTTTCTTAATTTTCTATTCTTTGTAGGCAAGTTGTATCAGAACAATTTGTTCGAGGCAGGAGCCTTGTGTCTTTGAATTTCAGAACAAGTGATGCATGATAATCAAACTCCACAGTGTTAGTGTGCTTTAAGCAACTGTGCAATGAAACCTAAGCTTTATGATTCATCGCAACTGTGCAATGAAACCTAAGCTTTAAAATTCATGATGGTGTCAGATACATCACTGTTTCATCACAGTTATCCTAACATAAGCGTAACAGTTCAAACATTTAAAAAAAGCTATACAGTTTTAAAGTTACTGTAGTGCTGTATGTGTGTGTGGTGGTGTTTCAGTTGTTGAGAGCTAATAACTGGGCATTTTCTTCTGTAGATGCTGTGGATGGTAGGGAAGAAAAGCCTGCTGCTGCTGATGCTGGTGTTAAGCCATCCACTCAAGTTATAGCAGCAAGCATGTCTGCCTTCGATCCGCTGAAGAACCAGGATGAAATCAGCAAGAATGTCATGTCAGCATTTGGCTTGACAGATGACCAGGTGTCAGGTAAGGATATGGCTCATGAAAGGGAAAGCTAAACCTGTTCATAGCCAGTGACTCAGATCTTGATTTGTAACAAAGCATTTGGATTTTTGGATGTATTAGATTGTATTCTGTGTTCATTATTTCTTTTTGGAATTCTAAAACTTCCTCTGTTAAGGTGTTATAACTGTGTTTACTAACTTTTATATACAAAATGTTGGAAGTGTTCCTCTGGATTTTAACATTGTGTTTTAGCTTGGAGTAGGAAATTGACTTAAAATTGTTTTATTTGAATTATTTAAAGCTATTGTATACATTAGCTTAATTGGTATCTGTCAGTGATAGAAAAACAGTATCCTTGCTTTGCCTTAGGGCTTGATCTTGCAGTTCATGTTCTTGGCTTGGGCTTCTGCTGTTTGGGTCAGTCAGGATGGTTTATACAACCTCACCTCTTCTCTGTTTCATTTCACAAGAAAATAGTGTCAACTTTTTGACTGTTAACAGAAAGGAATAACAAACTTGTCTGAATTATGTTTATTCTTGAAGAGTTGATATGGTGGCTGTTTGCCCTAGTGGTAGAATGCTAAACATAAAAACTGATTATACTGAACTGAATTCAGTCAATTTAAGACAGAATAACTGAAGCTAGAAAAGCAATGTAGAATGTGATAGGGAGTGAGATGCAGAATATAGAGAAGTGATTTTGTGCAGAATCCACGTGAGCCTGGAAAGGTTTAATGTACCACTGAAACATGCAATTAAAACAGCTGTTTTCTAACAGGATTTGCTGTGTACTCTCAACTTCAGACCAAGTGAATAGTAATGAGCTTGTTTCTACAGTATGGCTGTCTTGGAAAAAGGGTAAAGTAATAGGAATAGATCTGCGCTGTGTAATTGTGACTGTGCAGGATCCAAAGTTTTCCCCACAGATAGTGGGTGACTTCAGATTGAGGTATTGGTCTGTGGATCAGATCTATAGAGTGACCTCTTCCTCCACGGTTATTTCACAAACCAGATAAAGGTTTGATAGTACTAGAAAACTTGCAGTGGGTTATCTGAACAAGTAAGTGGCAGAATAGGAAGTACAACTAGCAGAAAATTTGAGATGACTTTCGAAGGAGTGGTTTTGTCAGTGTCAGTTAATGCTTTGATTATAGCATCAGTGGTACTTCAACATTTGTGTCTCCATAATTCTTCTGATAGAGTGAACTGACTTGACCATGCTTTGAATGTACAAAGAACTCCATAGAAGGGTCTTTAAGCAGGATATAAGAAATCTCATTTCTAAAGCTGTAATCCTGCAGATACACATATAAAGGCAAATCTAGAAGTAGTCAGATTTGATAAATTTTCCCCCTAATAAGGGTAACATGAAAACACAATCAGAGGCTTGTTTGATGCATATTTATATTGTGGAAATATAACATTCTTAAAATTGCAAATGAATTGGCAGCAATTCTAATACTTGTGCTTAACTTTAAGCCTGTATCTGAAAGTAGTGTTTCATAGCATAGTTAAGAGCTGAAAAAGATTCAGGTTAAAGCTCCCTTATTTCTACCAGAAAATTTTGCATTAAATTGCTGTATATTATAGTTGTTCACATGCATGTTTCAGAACTTCTCACGAATGTAGAGGAAATGTGAATGCCTTGTTTCCATGCTGTCTTTAGGTGCCAGCTGGAATATTTCCTGAATAGGAAAGCAGACAATTGCTTTTAGACTGAAGCCTGCCATATCCTGTCTGGGAGTGTGATTTTAAAACCTTCTTTGGAGGTTTTCTGTTCACATGCCACTGTTGGTAAAAGACTTTGTTGCCTGGTCCATGTGGTTCACAGTAAAACACTAATGCATTTGAATAGTTCCATGCAGCCTTTCTTTCACCTTTGCTCCAGATGAGAAAGAATAGGCACCTAAGTGCCTGTTCTGTCCAAATGTAGCAAGTTTCAAGTGTACTTGGGCAAGGTTAATGCTTGAAGCTGTTGGAAAAAATATGTTGGCATGAAGAGTTTTATCCCACAAATAGGTCAGGTTCCTCAGAAGAACAAAATCTGAGTGGCCCAGAGACCCGTGGACAATTCCCCCCCCAAATATTTTGAAAGGAAAGTTTAGATATGTAAATCTATATTTAGTATTAGCTTGGGTATGACACTGAGATGTAAATCTGTGGAAAACTGGAGAAAATGTTAAAAACATTGCAAGGGAGTGATCTTCTATTAGACTTTCTTATTCAAACTCTGCTATTTCACATACCGTATTTTGTCCTTGCCTCTCTAGGACCACCCAGTGCCCCTGCAGAAGAGCGATCGGGAACACCAGACAGCATTGCTTCCTCCTCCTCTGCAGCTCACCCTCCTGGTGTTCAGGCACAGCAGGCAACGTACCCTGGGACACAGCCACAGACAGGTCAGGTGGAAGGTAAGCAGTGTGCTTTTCTGCTGTTTAAATCTGAGCGATGGTGTCTGAATCCGACTTCAACGAGCAGACCCAAATACCAAGCTACAGCTTCACGTGTGCCACTAGGCAGAGCTTTGTCCTCACATGCTGTTCGATACAGAAACAGCAGATGGAGCTGTGGCTCCATTTGCAAGGGTAGATGGTGTGACATGAGAATTTTCATGATGCTCTTTTCTGCTTGCATCTGCGCTTGCTTTGCTGTAAGGCAGATTTCTATACTCTGTGCTTTAAAGCTATCTGAAAATCTTGGTGTTTATCATGCACTGTGTGTTGTCGAGCTTTCACTCAACTAACAATTTGTTGACTTGTCCACTATGAATTAAAATGTTGTTTACTCATCATTTCTGTCTGACAGAATGGAGGCATTATTTAATTGCTTTTTTTTCATGTATGGCTCTGTGCTAGTCAGGTTAAACCTTGTAACTACACTATATGCATATTTCCTGTGTAACCCCTGGGAGCCTCTCCTTTGAAACTTAAGTACTTAACTCTGGTATTCAGATTTGTTTGCACTGTGTCCTCTTAGATGTTATTTGACTTCTCAAAATTAACCTATTCAGAGGCTGGCTACATTTGGGCATCAATTTTTTCTATTGCTATTTTCTAAGAGCACTGAGCCTTCAGACCTGCACAGTTCGCAATTAAACTGTCCGTGGAATAACTTACTTTGATATTTTACTTCTGTATAAAGTAGAATTTGTTTCTGTGCTAGTGTAGGCACAAGTTACAGCCCTGTGCTGCTTTATATGCTGACATGGGTGAGAGGGTGGTCACAGTATCAATAGTCACTTGCACTGTCTTGCCTGAAGGGCATAAGTAATATTTTGATTGAGCAGAGGATTTGAGCAACTGGTAGTTAAGTGTAATTTTTAATCAGGCATGAATACTGTTGGTTACTGGAGCTTATGAAACACTTCTTTGCTGCTTTCAGCCTTTTTATTTTTGACTTATCTCCCTAAGACTTTTATAACACAGCAAGAGACATCTTTGTACCTCAAAGATAGAACTGTGTGGAAGTTTCAGAAAAAAGTGCTTCAGGTTCTTCTGTTGGCAGACAGAAAACTTAATATTCACAAAATACACTCAGCTACTGAAGTTGCATTTTATGAATTTAGTTTTTTTACTGTACTTTATTACAGTGAGGTATGAAGTTTTAAGTGTTGATGTTAAATTAGAACTGAAACAAAGAAGTGAAGCACTTAAAAGCACTAGCAGCACTACACTGGAATCCTGTACAGCTGCTAACACCAGGGAAGGGAAGAAGTCCTTGTTTCAGTAAAACTCATCTTGCTTGGGAAGGAGGTTCTCTAGGATATTGTAGATGTTATGATTTTTCTAAACTTGCATCCAGGAAAGTTTGAAGTATTTTAAGTATTGATTATATTTTCTTCACTCTGTGGGCAAATCATGATGGTTCAGTTTTTGGGAAGAGATCAGAAGTCATTTTTGTCTTTGTGCATTAGAAAGCTTAGGAGGAGTTCTTATGCTGTACATTGTATGCATATGGTAAATAAGTCTCTTACCAAAGCTGGGGAATGTATGCATGACTATCAGCCTCTGAGTTTTTTCATAAACATTTTTCTCCAAAGTGTTCAAAGACTTGCCTTTGAAACATGGAGTAGTTTTCCATACTTGAGACTGCTTGATGGCACCTCAGTCCAGTGGTAATTTGGGGCCATTCCCCAAGCCAGAACCAGGTTTGGATGGTTAGGTTTTCAGCGGGATTGGCTCACATAAACAGCACTGCTGGTGCAGAGCAGGTTCTTGTTAGAAACTAGTTTTAAATTACTCGTTCACTCCTTGAAAAAACCAAACACCCCAAACTGTGCTTCCCCCCCCATCACCATCCCAGTATTTTGAAGATTTAAGTTAATTGGTGATGCCAGTGGTGTGTCAGTCATGCTGGTATATCAGGGATTATTTTTTAATGGCATTCTTTGCCAGTAAATGATGCTGTGATGATTGATTGGTTATTAGGTTGTTGTTATTTGTGAATAACAAGTCACCTCTTCTGTGTGCTGAATGGCTTTTCTCCATTTTAAGCATTCTCTTTTTTAAGCATTGACTAATTTGAATTAAATCAATACAACAAAGATGGTTTAATATAGCTCTGGCTTTTGTGCTGTTCCTGTGCTTTTCTGCCAGTGGGAACACACATGAGAAACAATTATTCACAGAAGTGGACACTTTTTTAGTCTTTGCTGAAACACATGTAAAATCTCATTCACACAAGCACTTCATGATTTCTAGGGAAAAGAATGTTGTGTGAATATACATAAATGGTGTTTATCCAGAATCAGGCTAAAATGTCTTTTTCAGTGCACAGGAACAATGGTAAATGCTGGCAGATCCTTGACTGCAATAAGCACTGCTAAGTACAAAACCAGACCCTAATGCTGTAGTTCATATTGTTTTCAGAGTAAAAATCCAGTGAGTGGGAAAACTCTGTGTGTTTAAGGACCCATAGGATCTCTGACTGCATTCATGGCTGTAAATTAAGAATGTTTTCTTGAACGGCACTGAACACCTCTGTGTTCCTCACTAACACTTCAACCCAGGAGAAGACAGCAAGCCTTCTCAGAAAGCTTTGCTAAAACTCCAGGCTGTTTCTTTCCTATCCCTTGGCCTAGACTTTCCAGCAGGTGCCGGTGTGGTCTCTGTGTTAGCCCGTAGGTAATTATACCAAGACAGGCAGCCTGCTGGTTATTCTCCCAGAACTTCCTCATAACAAATGAGTTTAAGAAACAGAAAGCACACTTTCTGAGTTTCTCATTCTTAATTAGCAAGCTAACAGGCTTATATTCTCTTCTGCCCTTGTGTTTAGTACTTTCATCATCCCACAACAATCGCAAGCCAAATAAGTTTTGAGGAAATGCACCAATATAAAGTATTCTGAGCACCTTACTGTAAATGTAAAGTGCTGTTCCTTTCAGCTGCAGATAATGCAGATAGAAGAAGAAATAAGGAGTTATTTTAAAGCGGTGTGCAAAGGGGTGTGTGAGGACTTGGAGGAGAGCCGAGTTGCTTTTGTCTTGGTGTAGCTCAGAAGATAGAGTTTGCACTCTATTTATACACTCTGCTGATCTTTGCAGAACGAATAATAGTACAGTAACACTTCATAATGGTAAAGTTTCCATGTCTGCTGCAGTTCAGCTAAGCTTTGGTTTTGGCAGATAATTGTTTTTGTTCTTTGATTGTGCCTGTTACTAAATTGAAAAACAGCAGAAGCCTAAACACGGCCCATAGGTCACCTAAACAAATATTCTGCCTCTTCTGGCCAAGAAATTGAAAACAGTGAATTTAGGAAAAATAAGCATTGACTTGGACTACCCAAGCTTAACAATGTATGGTTTTATTTTTGCTTCGGGTGTATACTCCTGGGTCTCTTAAGAAAACTTGGCCACGCTAAGAGATGGATGACTTATCTGGAAAATGTGGTCAGCATAAATAATGTACCACTCTGCTTACAGTACTTTGTTGCAGAAATGGTCTTAAAAACCTAATATAAACAGACAATCTGAGGACATGTTTAACTTCTGAAGTACTTTATTTACAGCGTAATTTCTGGAGCAGTTATGAAGACATTTAAAGATTCCTGGTGTGTTACCCACTAGAGTGGCACTAACTAAGGTGCCTAGCTTCTGTCATCCTCTGAAAATGTGAAATACTAAGCCTCACATATCAAATTAGAACTCTTTATCCTGTGGGAGATAAATAACCATCATTTAGTCTTCAGAACATCATGGTTCAGCAACTAAAACCCGCACTTTGATCTTAGTCATTAGGTGGAACACATCACATATTTAAACACAAACTGTGTTCAGATTTTTTGAAGTTTTTACGTGTCATGAGAGGGTTTGTTTCTATGATTATTGAACTGTCAGGATATTGCTCTCTGTGTATTTATAAACTAGGGTACTGGGCTTCAATTCAATACGTTTTTAATCCCCAGGTCAGATGTATCAGCAGTACCAGCAGCCTGGTTACCCTGGTCAGCAGCCGCAGGCTCAGCCTCAGCAGCAGTATGGTGTGCAGTACCCAGGTAAGCAGTTCTCTCCAACAGCAGTTCAGCTGTAGAACCTCTCTTGCAGTGCCCAACCCTCTGAGCTTCGGTTCCTGAGCCTGTGGGACAGGTCACAGGGTGCTGAGCTGCCCAAGTGTTCCTTACGGGAACTGGCACACACTGGAGCTATGTCATTAATAGAGTTCTGGTATCTCAGCCCTTCTTGATTGTGCCCAAAAGCAGACTTCATTATTAATCAGCAGAATGCCTGGTTAGAAATGCAGGCAAAATGAATCACCTGCAGTCATGGGATTCTAGCAAGAAAGTGACGAAAACATCCCAATTTAGCTTCCCTCAGTATCAGAGGTATCTAAAGATGGCCCATGTTTTTTCCATCTAGAATGTTCTCCATGTGCAAAACTTCATGCTATGAACACTGCTTGTAGCTGTCATTTAGTAAATCCTTTGATATTATGAATACTGTAAATTTCAGAGACAATTTCAAGTGACAGGTTTTTTTAGTTGTTGATTTTGCTGATACCTCAAGTAAAAGTGCCAGTAGACTTCTCACTGAGGAATATTTTAGTGCACTAGTGGTTTCTGTGCAGTGAAATATGAAAAGCTGGTTTTGGTGTATACACAAAATAAACTTGACTTCAGAACTTGGTTACTTCCTTTAGAAGTAGCTGACATCTAATAATGTACAGTATATGGTAGGAATATGGTAATGCAGATGAAGTACAGGGATGAACCTGTAAGAGCAGATTCGATAATGAATTGCATGTTGCTTAATACTTGTAGAAAAGGATACAAAGCATTTATCATTCCTTGTTTTAAAAATCTTCCTTAAACTAAACAAGACTCCCATTAAGTGACTCAGAGCCAGTGTGACCTTTTCCTGGTGCACAAGATATACAGTGGGAGCACATCAATTTTTATATAGATGAGAATATTTGCGGAGCTTATGAAGAAATTCCATGTTTAGCTTGGATAAGAACCCTAGAACAATTGACTAAAGATCTGTGCCTCAGCCCTTGTTCCTATGCACTGTGTGAGAGCTGGTTGGTTTGAGTCTAAATGGTATCTGCAGATTTCTCACCCCTGTATTTGTGATTAGAATACAGTGACAGACTTGCTGAAGTATAATTTCAGAAGAAGTAACAAGCCTGTTGGAAGCAGAAGCATCTATCTGACTTTCATGAGGCTTAAAACCTGAGTGTGGGGGGAAAAATAGAATTCTGATCTGTTTTGTAGTAATGTGCTACCATCACCTAATCCATGACTTACTGGAGATGTACCTAATCTGTCAGAAACAGTCTTTTTTTAAGGACCTAGTGACAGCAGCCTTTGAAAATGTTGAGTCATAGGATTTTTTTGGTTGTTTTGCTTTTGTTCCCGTGAGTATTGTCTCCTCTCAAATCCATGTCTTCCAAGAGCAAGATCCCTTCCCACTCTTGTAGATCTACTAGGCCAACAGTGTGGATTTTTATACATGGTAGTAAAAATGGACCCTTCAGAGGTTTCTCTCGAGAGTAGATTTTGATCCCAGTTTCAAGGTGAGTTTACTCCAGTGCATTCTTACCCTTCCTCTTTCCATTTAGGGCTGTGCACTTTTAATAATTTGTGTGTCTGGTGTTTAATGCTGACAGGATCCCAGTCACTGGAGAGGTTTCATTGCAAGTAGCTGCAGGTGTGTTTCGTGATGGATAAAAGTAGCTATTTCTTCATTAAAGGACTCTGTGCCATTTTAAAGCTTTCAAGAAGAGAAACTCCCTTTGGAAGCTGGTTTTATACAGGAAAAAAAATCAAGTTTGGGGCATGTTTAAATGGAAGTTTTGGACTAAAGTATTGTGTTCTGCACAACCTTTTCATATTTAACACTAAAGAACTGAAAACACCTGTGAAAATGCTAAACAACTGAAAACACCTATGATTTAACCAAAGGTGTGATTTGTTTTAGGCCCCGATAGTACTTTCACGACAGTTTAATTTTGCGGTTTGATTTGGGAGAAAGGTTTGCATTGTGCCTCATTTGCCAATGAAGACTTTATTTTTCGTGCAATATGAAGTAAAAGGCTACTTGTCTTTTTTCTTTGTTGTTGTTGTCGTTTCTTGTCAGTCTTGGGAAAACTATTTATACTCGTGTGCCATGCTGGCACAGCAGACCCAGGCAGCAGTGTGCTTATGTGAAAGCAGGAAAACAGCAGTTCACTCTTGGTTTGCCTTTTCTGTGCTTACTGCCTCGTTTTGCGTTTGTCACTGTAAATATAAAAAAAAATCCAGAAAACAAGCGACTCAGGGTCTTTCTGCAGGCGCGCACGGCTCTTTGCTGTCTCTCACCCCCCTGTTCTTTGCCTTTCCAGCAGGTTACAGCCAGCAGCAGACCCCCTCGCAGCAAGCGCAGCAGTTCCCGGCGTACAGCCAGGCGGCAGCGCCG